TGTGATCTGCGTTAAAATTTTCAAACACTGACTAGAATTCTCTTTCTCTGTAAGGTTACGATTCAGTTTCTACATCAGCTTCGTTCTCATTAAAACAAAGCTAGGTTAAAATTTGGAAAGGCAAAGTCAACATCGCAGGGTTTACGGACATATTTTAAAGTTTACTCGGGCAGAACTAAGAGCACTGTAAGTATTCACTCGTTAATGTGACGCTGGAGTCTTTTGAAAATCGGACATTGTGTCTGGCTCGATCTCGCCTCTATCTTTCTTTCGTTGGTCTTTGAAAAGACACTACAAATGGCAAAAAAAACCTGTCAAGATGATCGGGTGCAGCTATGTTTGTTATCATATTTGTCTAAAGAATTTACTCATTTTCTCTTAGGCAAAAGATCTCGAATCTCTGCCAGTCGATTTTCGTCTTCTTAACTGTGTACTGCGATAAAATTTTCAAACACTGACTAGAATCCTCTTTGATAAGATTACGAGTTAGTCCTCAAGGTTGACATGCGTCTTATAACTTTATTTAAGCCTTTTTTCCGAGGTAAAGAGATTTAGACCTCCGAAATGAGAATTGACCAATCGCATGGCGAAAACAGACTCAGCCATATCGTAATAATGCATGACGTTCTATCTATTTCTAAATACTCTTCATCAGTTGCTAAAATTTAATCATTTCAGGAACCTTATTTTCCATTTTTAAACAGAACATTGTCATGATTAATATTTTTGATAACGTTAGCCCTTGTAAATTATTTGTTGGTTGCTGCACAGAACTTACTTTTCAGTTGCTTCAATTCCATCACCAATGGAACGACATGCATGTGACTCAAGATAATTTGTGTCAAGTTTGTTAGCTTTGTTTAGTTCTTTATGTTATTTTATTTAATACTTTAACTATTACAAGATAGAGCCGAATAACCAGAAGTTGTTGGAAATACGGAAAATTGCTTTGGGAGAACAAAAGAAACATCAAGAGAGCCACAGAGAGAAGGTAAAAGAGGAAATAGTCAAACCCTATTTCTAGTAGTTCCTTACATAGAAATCCTAGAGAACTAAAATTGTTGTACAATATTCAGGGGTGCAGCTACCAGAACGCTTCTTTGCACGTGCGTAACTGAAATATCGAAGATAAATAAAAACACATCAACATAGAAATAAAGCAAAGGAAGTGCACATTAGGCAATTAGAAGATAGAATAGTGAAACTCAGTACCCACGTGACTCCGCTTTACTTTCTGACACGCGCAATCTGTAGTACAAAGAGAGGATTGTATTGGTAATACTTACAAGAAGACGCCAAATTAAAAGTTAATCAGGTCACCTGCATGGGAACGGCCTGGGAGAGTTGATTTGGAAAACTCTGAGTGACGTTTTCTAGACAAGACAAGACAAGACATTTGTTTATATAATATTGCCTGTACAATTTCTTGGCACGCAGTTAGCAAAAAACGCTAGTCGAGGCATGCAAAATTAACTCTATTACAAATCAGATATTATTGTAACAGATAATAAGTAAAATGCAAAGAAAAAGAAAAGAAGATGTGTAATAAAGTCAAAAGCAATAAAAACAAATCTGTTTAATGCAACCTGTAAAACAAGCTAAGGTTTAGGATTTCGCGATTTTATTTCTCGTGTTATCATAGTTGCATCAAGGTAATCATCTTTGTCTTTTTGTATTTTAAAGAGTACACTGCAAAATTTTTGTTTAAACACTTCTTTAGACATATCTCTCATTTTACTTGGTATCTCCTTCCATAATTTAGCGCCGCGAACTCAAGAAGGTTCGTCAGTGGTAGGAATGAGATAACAGCTCTGAAGAGATAATAGAAAGTTGTGATTAAATTCCGATACCTCACTTTTCAGGGGCACCCAACGACGGTTTTCTGTAAATATCTGTTCGTAGAAGCAAAAATTGCTTAGAATTTTCTTTACCTTGAGGAAGGCTAAGAATTTCTAGATGACCGTTCCATTCATGCTTAACTAATAAATTCCCTACGATTTTCTGAAGTTTAATTTTCGCATTTCACTCCTTAGATTGAGCTATTTTTCGCAGAAAAAGGAAACCTAAAATTCAGTTCCGGATTCGAAAATGCGATGGAAAGAGGAATCAGAAAAATTCGCACTTTCGTAAAACTTTAAATTGCACCTAAAATTTTCGGGAAAATAATACTGAAGCCCTGGTAATTTCGAAAAGACTCAAGTTGCCCTTGGATGACCGAACAATTTTATAGCGCCGATTAGAATGTATTTCTAAAGATTTTAAAGTACTCTGGATAGCCTAAAAAGTGTTTTTCAATGCATTTAGGAGGAAACCGTCGTTGGGTGCCTCTAACTTTTTAAAAGACAAAGATTGAAGTCACCCATGACGCAAACATTTTCCCTAGTAGAAATAATTTCTTCAAGAGTTTGTTCAAAATACTCTAAGAAATGTTCGGGAGAATTATGTTGTCTGTCGATAATACAACAAATTATATTCTTTTTGGATGCAAAACTTAATTCGATTCAAAGGGCTTGGAAGGCTTCATTAGACGTTTTTTCTAAGATGGTGTAACTCCCATTGAGTGAAACAACTGTATACATAATTTGTAATTTTCTCTGTCGTTCGCTTACTCTGTCGTTCCTGAAGGTTACATCGAAATCCAATCAGACTCTCCTGACTGGTGTCACGAAGAATGTCATACGTAAGACCCCTAGGACTGGACACCCTTTGCTTCCCCTTATAAGGAGATGGCCAAAGTAACTACTTAAGATTGCAACACGATTGCTGGAGTTTTGTTTTCCACCCAAGGGTTTTTAGGAGAATCTACTCCACGCGCTTAGCGCCCGCGCCCCAGGATTTAAAGAGAACACTCGGTTAGTAAGTTTTAGTGAATGTAGGTCGACTTTTGAATAAAAACTAGACGTGTTTCTAGGCTTTCTACAAGAAATATACGAACAGAATTGACTAAAAATGAGTAATTCAACGAGTAAGTGAATAAAAATTTAACCTTTATTTAGTCGAACCCATTTTCCTAAAGCCCATGAATTGATTAGGTTATTCAGAAAGAATATTCTTTTTCCGTGCCCAATTTCAATTCAGTTAAAACCTTTTGGTCGAAGATGAAAATATTTGAACAAGAAATTTCATTCGGAGACAATATTTTCGTGGTGGAAGCAAACTTGCTTTTGAATTTGACTTAACTCTGGAAACTCGTTTTATGCCTACGAAGTATGTTTCTCGCACAGTTCTCGAAAGGTGGGAACATTTTTTTCTTTTTACTTCAGCCGGGGTAGGCATCTTGACATCAACGCTACCAACGACACAAAAGCGGTTTAAGTTGACATGAGCCCTGGTCAGCCGGATAATGGCTAACCTGAGAAAACAGACGACATTTCGCGACGCCACAAACGGTTTCCGCGCGAAATGACAACTGAAAAACAAGCGCAGAAATTTCATACTGATGACGCGTCACTACCCAGATCTGGGTACTGCTTTTGATTGGTCGTGCCGCTTGTGAAATTTGCTTCAGTCAATCAGAAGCACTACCCAGATCTGGGTAATGAAGAGTCATCAGTACGGAATTTCTGCGCTTTCTCGCCTTTTTCTCTTTCTTAAAAAGTCATTATCTTCATGTGAATAGGCGTACAAGTCCAGTTAATAAGATCTGTAATCGAAAATTTGGTAATGGGGCTAGACATTTTCCATATAAGCATATCATACATTGTTTGTTATTTGTTTCGAAGAAAATTGGCGTGAAGTCCACATACCCACCTGGAAACACAAGCACTTTGAGAAAAATTGGCAACTTCGAGGACAAATCAGGTGGAAGGACCAATGGTAATCTTGGCAACGCCCATATAGATAATACAGCCGTAAAACGTTGTGAACCTTACCCTAAAATTGTGAAAGGACGAAGAGACAAATCAGAGGAAGGAAAGGCGTATTGCAATCTTGGCAACGCCCATCACAGTCTGGGAGATTTTAAAACAGCCATAGACTACCATGAACGTCACCTGAAAATTGCGCAAGAATTGGGTGATAGGTCAGGGGAAGGTCAGGCGTATTTCAATGTTGGTAACGCCCATCACAGACTAGGTAATTTTAAAACAGCTATAAACTACTATACAAGTCGCCTGAAAATTGCGAAAGAACTGGGTGACAGATCGGGGGAAGGAAATACATATTGCAATCTTGGTGGCGCCCATCACTGTCTGGGAAATTTTAAGACTGCAATTGACTTTCATAAACTTTGCATGACGATTGCAAAAGAATTGAATGACAAATCATTGAAAGGAAAGGCGTATGCCAATCTTGGCAATGCCCATCGCTGTCTGGGAGATTTAAAACCAGCTCTTGACTGCCATGAACGTTGCCTAAAAATTGCGGAAAAATTGGGAGACAGGTCTTTGAAGCAAACGGCGTATGGCAATCTTGGCAACGTTTATCACAGCTTAGGAGATTTTAAAACAGCAATAGACTATCAGGAACGTTGCCTGAAAATTGCAAAAGAATTGAGTGACAAATCGGTGGAAGGAGTGTCCTATTGCAATATTGGCGGTTACCATCAAAGTCTAGGAAATTATAAAACAGCCATTGACTACCATAAACGTTGCCTTAAATTCGCAAAAGAATTAAATGCTGAATCATTGAAAGGAGAGGCGTACGGCAATCTTGGCATTGCCCATCAGAGTCTGGGAGATTTTAAAATAGCAAAAGACTACCATGAACGTCACCTGAAAATTGCGAAAGAATTAAGGGACAGACTGGGAGAGGAAAAAGCGTGTGGCAATCTTGGCAACGCTTATCACAGTCTGGGAAATTTGAAAACAGCCATAGACTTCCTTGAACGTCGTCTTAAAATTGCGAAAGAACTGGGTGACAAGTTGAGGGAAGGGCCCGCGTATAACGATCTTGGCACCGTCCATCAAAGTCTGGGAAATTTTAAAACAGCCATACACCACCATGAAATTAGCCTAAAAATTGCAAAAACGTTGGGTGACATATCGGGGGAAGAAAAGGCGTATTGCAATCTTGGCAACGCTCATCATAGTCTGGGAGAGTATAAAACTGCCAAACACTACCTTGAACATTGCCTGACAATTGCTAAACAATTAGGTGACAGATCAGGTGACGGACAGGCGCATGGAAATCTTGGCATCGTCTATCAAAGTCTGGGGGACTTTAAAACAGCTAAAGACTACCATTTACGCCACCTCAAAATTGCGAAAGAATTGAGTAAGAAGTGGGAAGAAGGAAACGCATACTCCAATCTTGGCTATATCCATCACAATCTGGGAGATTTTAGAACAGCCGTAGACTACCATAAACGTCACCTGAAAATTGCGAAAGAATTAGGAGACAGGTCAGGGGAAGGAAAGGCGTATTGCCATCTTGGCAACGCATATAGCACTCTAGGAGATTTTAAAACAGCCGTAGACTACCTTGAGCATCACCTAAAAATTTCAAAAGAACAGGGTAGCAGATTGTCGCAAGGAAAGGCGTATGGCAATCTTGGCGACGTCCATCACAAACTCGGAAATTTTAAAATAGCCATACGCTACAATGAACATTGTCTGAGCATTGCGAGGGAATTGGGTAACAGATCGGTGGAAGGACATGCGTATGGAGGTCTTGGCAAATCCCATGACAGTCTTGGAAATTTTAAAATAGCCATAGACTACCATGAACGCCACCTGAAAATTGCAAGAGAATTGGGTGAAAGATTAGAGGAAGGAAAGGCGTATTGCGGTATTGGAAACGCTCATCACAGTCTGGGAAATTTAAAAACAGCTATAGACTACCATGAACGTTGCCTGAAAATTTCGAGAGAATTGGGTGAAAGATTAGGAGAGGGAATAGCTTGTTCGAATCTTTGTTTCGTCTATGAAAATCTAGGCCAAGTTCCAGAAGCCATTGAATATTGCAGGGCCGCGCTTATTTCATTAAATAATATCAGAGATCATCTTCAATTGAAGGACGAGTGGAAAATAAACTTACGTGATCAATACCAGGCAATATACGCCGCACTGTGGCGCATGTTGTTGTCAGAAGGCAAGGTAAAGGAGGCTTTGTTTTCTGCCGAGCAAGGACGGGCACAGGGTCTTAAAGACCTTATGACATTAAATTATTTATTTGAAGGGAATGGTGAGGAATCAGCTAGAGAAAGCGGAACCTTTCATGACCTGTCCAGTTGTCTTCCAAGGAATACAATATTTATGGCGATTGGAAAGAAGGAATTATTTCTCTGGGTTTGTCAGAAAGAAAAGGAGGTTGAATTAAGAAGAAAGCGAATCACTTCACAAGATGAAATCGGCACTTTCTTTTGCTCACTTGTGGCGAACATTGGTGCACGTGATAATGTGGAGTGTGAAAATCGCTCACTACAATTGGCGAATGATGAAAGACTGGCAGTTAAAAGATCAACTCAAGATAGCAGAAAAACCCACCACTTAGACCTTGAACAAAGAGCCTTAAGTACATTATACGAGACCATCATTAATCCTATTCAAGATCTTTTTTTAGAAAATGAACTCGTATTCATCCCAGATGGTCCACTTTGCTTGGCTCCTTTTGCTGCGTTCAAAAGCAGTGATTCCAAATACCTTTGCGAATCATTCAGAATTCGCGTGGTTCCATCTCTCACATGCGTGAAAATCATTGCGGAATGTCCGCCAGATTACCACCTCAGTTCGGGCGTACTTCTTGTCGGTGATCCGTGGGTACAAGATGTGACGATGCTACCGGAGTTGCCATATGCAAGAGAAGAAGTAGAGATGATTGGAAAAATGGTTGGCTGTGCCCCTCTAATTGGAAGACAGGCCACGAAGGATGAGGTGTTAAGACGACTCGGTTCTGTTGCTTTGGTGCACATCGCTGCACATGGCAGCATGGAAACGGGCGAAATTGCCTTAGCGCCAAAAAGTGGTGACGAAGATTTCATTTTGACGATGAAAGATATCAAGCAAGTTCAGCTGCGAGCAAGATTGGTTGTACTCAGTTGTTGTCATAGTGCTCATGGCGAGATCAAAGCAGAGGGTGTAGTAGGCATAGCACGGGTATTTTTAGGTGCTGGTGCTCGTTCTGTTCTGGTATCATTGTGGGCGATTGACGACAAGGCCACTCTTGAGTTTATGAAAAATTTCTACCAGTATCTCAAGGAAGGAAAAAGTGCAAGTGAAGCCCTTAACCACGCAATAAACTACATGAGAGAATCCAAAGAATTTAGCGCCGTAACTCACTGGGCACCCTTTGTACTCATTGGTGATGACGTCACATTTGAATTTGATGGGAGCAAATAGACCACTTACAATGTCGAGGTAGGTGTGTGTGTATGTGTGTGTGTGTTTTTTTTTTTTCAGGAAAGACCGTAACCAAGAAATAAACTAAAAGAAAGAAACAAAAAAAATAAAACCCGAAACAAACAGGGAACCCTTTAACACCATTGCTGAAAAAGTCAAATTTAAATTTGATGGGAGAAAATAACCCATTTACAATGTCGAGGTGGGTGTGTGTGTTTGTGTGTGTGTTTTTTTTTTTTTTCTGGTCGTAAAGTGCCAAAATGTTTTTATTTGTTTATTTTTTCTTTAATTGGTTGTTTTTTCTTTCACTGTTAAACTTAAAAAACGATAAGGGTTCAAACACATTACAAAGTTACCGGCCACAGTACAGAACACGGACGCAAACAAGAGTTAATAAGAGGCTGTTTGCGTGGAGGGAGGATGATCATGGTCAACCTCGTTCCCAGGGTTCCTTCCTACCCAAAAGATCCTAGAAGGTGCAATAACTTTACGTTGGATTTACATGCAGAAATTTCGGCCCGTGAGTTGTGCAAGTAGAGAAGGCTAGAGAAGGTTAAAAAGGGCGAACGACAAAATCAAAAATGCAATTTGGGTCCTTCTGCTCTCTTTACTGGCGTAAATCACTACCTTTCAGCTGAATTAACGCAATAATCTGCTCGTGGATTACTCCAAAAGAAATGGTCGGCCTTTATTGCCGTACTTACCTACTGAACGACCCGCCGAGATTTTTGTCGCGTTTGCCCCTGGGACTAGGATCTTCCTAGCGAAAGCAGATTACATGTTGCTAGGATCTTCCTTCCTCTCAGCTAGGAAGATCTTAGTACTAGGAAGATCCTAGCGCCAGGGACAAGCACAACCCTTTGCATGTACAGAAATACAGAAAACATATGGCGCTAGGATGATCCGCCCTCTAGGATCTTCCTGGTACTAGAATCTTCCTCCCTTCATGTAAACAGCCCCTAAATCAACATAAAGATAAGTATAGGAGATAAAATGTATGAATGAATAAATAAATCAGTAGTCTAGATAAACAGGCGCTACACTACGTCTATTGTATCAATTTAACTCCTTTGAAATTAAGTTAAGATGAAAATCTTTGTGGACGTGGTAATTCTTTTATTCCTCATTCTTAGTGCCAGTCTTCTACTGATTTCTCAAGCGGGTAATTAACCTAAATTGCGCAACAACCCGCATTGTTTATTAAATTGCAATCAAGGAAAAGATCTAATATGGTTGTTTGTCGTCTCCTTTAATTTTATAAATATTTTAATGGCAGCTATTCATTTCTTGATGTTCACCTGGCTCACAGCGATTTGGATTACGAGTTCATAAAACTTCGAATCTCTCAGCGTTTATAAGCGACCTTAATTCACATCTGTCTTTCAGAAAGCTGGCTCTGGCTTGAATTGAATCTGTGACTGTTTCTATTTTCTATTATTACTATTATTATTATTATTATTATTATTATTATTAATACTATTATTATTATTATTATTATTAATACTATTATTATTATTATTATTATTACTATTATTATTATTGTTATTATTATTGTTGTTGTTGTTGTTATTAATATTATCATCCAGATCTTTTTTTCCTAATCCAGTCCAATTGCCTATATGTTCTAGAATTAACAGTTGGTTTCGAGTCTAACCTTAATAACAATGTAGTGTGTAAAAAAGAAAAATATCCGAACCTGATCAAAGAAATGAGTAGAAATTATAGATGTGTGAAATTTGTAAAGCTCTCCATGAGCTCCCTTGGCGTTTTCTCCGGTGAATGCTCCACGTTCTTAGACATGATGAATGACATTGGCATTGAGAAAAAGCGCGAACTTTATATAATCAAGAAAATGATAAATATAGCCATTAGAGCAACATATTACATCTTTTGTTGTAGAAATAGGAATTGATAGCCCAGACTTTTTTTAATAATCCAATCTCAAGCAGCATTTGTAAATTGCCTATACGTAGCGAGGTTTAAATTGTACGTTCAAAAACACAAATAAAGTTTCCATTATTATTATTGGCTTTCACTTCTACTTTCAACTCTTGTTAGCCAATCCCGGTAGACTTTGTTGTCAACCCTAATAGAATAAGGGTACTATCAGTTATATCATTGTTTTTTTATTACACTGTTACTATTTCCTTTTATAGGTGCGTGCAAGGAATTTGAGCTACGTTGTGAGGCAGCTAAGAAGAACGAAGTGTTGGCAGTATTTTATTTAGCTTCACTTAGAAAATATGTGTGGCAAAGTCGTTCGATGTAGAAAACGAATTATATTTCCTTACATTAAGACTTACATACTCTTGTATATAATTAAAACTTTCATTTTTCTTGCTTACGGAAAATTGAAGAATCAAAACAGATGAAATTTTATAAGTAGTTCGAGACTTTCAACTGCGTATATAAAATGGAGGGAAATTTTGCAGGTGCTATTCCTCAACACTTGGATTGCTTCCTTTTTACATTTAACCATGCAACAAAAAGAAATTGTTGATCCTCTTAAAAAAACCCGAAATGCTGAATACAGTAATCTTATCGAGTTGTCGGTTTTAGTCTGCTTAACATGGGAGCAAGGCCTACGATGGTAAATACATATCGGTGTAGAAATGGCTGCGTTGGTTTATCCTGCCCCCCACCCCTCCAACAACTAACAAATGCACAAATATTGATACACAGCGTACACTGAGGGTACAGGTGTTCAAAATGATGTCGGTGGGATGGGAGTGGTGTGGTCATGTGTACAGTAGAACCTCGATATAACGAACCTCTAAATAAAGAAGCCATTGGTGGAACGAACGATTTTCTTTAGCCCAGTAGCAGTAAAACATATGATAAAGAACCTCGAAAAAATGAAACCTCGGTATAGCGAACACATTTTGCCAGTCCCTTAGCTCTTCGCTAACTCGAGGTTGTGTAAAAGAGCGTTAGTAGCACAAATTTGTCTCTAGACTTTACATCCTTGAATAGAGAATCCGTTCGACCAAATAGCTGATGCAATCTGAAGGAAATGAATAAAACGCGCCAAATTTGGTAGAGATTGGAAGGGGGGTGCCCAGAGGTTTTTGCTTTCAACTGACTTAACACTTCGGCGATTCGAGACTTTATTATCAAATCATTTTCGAGTATCAACATTTCCTTTCAAAATATTTTCCTATGTAAAGTTCAAATATATAGTGGAAGAGAGTTTACTGCACAGGATGTGTTCTTGCTTGGTACGCAGGTTTCCACTGAGATTTACCTCTCACCAGAGGAAGGGATTCCGGATTCCGGGATCGGGAAAATTTTGGCCTTTAGAATCCGGGATCCAACAAATGTTTTTTGTGGAATCCGGAATCCTAGGCATTGGAATATAGAATATACATCTCAAGGAATCCGTAATCCCACAAACGATTGGAATCCGGAATCCAGGTTCCACTGACTAAGAATCCAGAATCCGGTACCTGGAATCCGGAATTCATAGCGTGGAATCCGGAATCCCAGGCTGTCTTGGATTCAATACCAATTAACTGCACTGAAGCACACGTACTAACTCCGTGGTATGGCCAGAACCTGGAATCCGGAAACCCAGGCTGTCTTGGATTCCTTTACATGTTGCAATACCTCAGCTTTTGTTTAACACTACATTATGATAGCACGATCAGTTTAGTCAATAAACCTGATTATGTTCTTAATGACAAAAATAGATTTTCGAAGCGCATAAAGACTCCTGTTTTCTTCTTTTCATTTATTGGGATGATGTAAAGGGGGAGGTAATAGCAATCTTTCCCTCCCCTCCCTCCAGGGCCCAGTTGTTTGAAGGCCGATTAGCGCTAACCCTGGGTTAAATTTTAACCCAGGTTTCGATTTCTTTTGTTCAAAAAGCATTTTTCAGGATAATTTTCTCGATTCTTTTTAGAGCATCAAATCATCAAATTGTGGACTAAAAGAATAAAACTGAATTTGCGTTTTAAGCTTTTATATGTGAATTGAACTTTTGCACTAACCCTGGGTTATCTTAACCCTGCTTTAAACAACCCAACCAAAACCCTATAAAATATTCAAATTTTTGTTTGATTAATTAAGGTTAATTTGTCCAAACATTTTACGATTAAATGGTTACGATTTTCAGAATAATCATAAACTGAAAGCTAAAAGATCTTTTTCAACCCCATAGTGCTAATTCAGCCCTGCGGGCCAAAGTTTGATTCAGCCCCTCCTGGAGCCATTTGAGCATAATTTAGGCCGAAACGGCCCAGTCAAGAGACTATCTCAGCCCACGCTGGAGTTCATTTCAGCGCTATGGGTCCAAATCAGCCCCACGTAATTGGACTGTATTGGTCCTGATTTAAGGGAGCCAAATTAGATTTACCGAAACGGCCCCATTTTTAGTACTAAAACAGATCTTTCTGATTTACAGAATAGTTTAGCAGTTCCTAATTCAAATCCTTAGTATTTAGGTTCAGTTGCTAAAGCACTATTTTAGCGAAACTGTAGTTGTGCCAATTAATGAAATGTGTTAAAGTAAACGTTATTCGCCAGCTTTCTACACGAATGTTTTCTATATTCGCTGGGCTTAAAACTCGCTACAATTTTCCATCGAAAGGAAATCTTCCGTCCTGAAAAATCAATATTAATTATTCAATTTCAGTGCTTTCTGTCCTTCCTCGTTCTCAAAGTTAACGATTTTAATTCCAAATTTTTATTCTCAAGAGAATTGTTAAAGATTAAACGAGGAGAAAGGCTTTGTTTTCCACTTAGTCTAGTAGAATAAGCAAGTACAGGTAGTACTTGTTGATCAAAAATAATTTGGGGCGAAAATAGAAAGCATTCAATGCATCAAGAGCAAATCATTATTCTTCAGTGGACACTAGTTCTAGGTATTTAAAAGTTTTATTTTAAGGATGCCAAAAATGTCTTTTCTTGTTAAAAGGTTGTTTAACTTAAATGTGTCACTGAAAACAAGCGTATTAATTTTTTTCAATGAGAGTAGGACCTGTTAGAGTTACTATTTACAATGAGAGAGCAGTTGCTCAGGTAGACATAAGAAAAATTCCGCGAATTCTCCTCTTTTGCACCAGAAATCAAACGAATTTACGAAATCTAAAGCTTCCAGCCCTCCCCCTCCCCTCCCCCTCAGAAGAAAACCCTGCAGGCTCCACACAGTCATGTCGGTCATGTAACGAGTTGGCCATAAAAGCGTCGCAGTCAACGGCGTCCTGTTTATACCAGACGCATTTAACGTAGTCTGAGACGTTAAGTGCGTCTGAATTCGAACGACGAACTTAAAAGGGGAGGTTTTAAAACCGTCAGACGATAAATGCGTCTGCCTTATTTACCGTTTTTAAAGTGACCTATGTTTCGTTAAATTGCAAGTGTGCCCATGTCTTGGAACATTGGCCTCTCTTATGCTAGAGACGTTAAAGTCGTCAAGACGCAACGTCTGAGATGTCAATTAGATTTTAAAAAAGAAACTGACTATTCCCAGTCAATTCTGGACGAGCTGGGCATAAATGCGTCCCAGTTAATAGCGTCCTGTTTTTGTACTAGACGCATTTAACGTCTGAGATGTTTTTAAAAGTCGTCTGTTAAGTGCGTCTGCATACGAACGACGATCGACGTTTTAAAATCGTCAGACGTTAAATACGTCTGATCTTATTTAGCGGTCTTATACTACACGTTGAAGTCGTGTTACGTCTCAGTCGAAATTTAACGTCTCTAGCATAAAAACGGCCATTACATACATGCCAGCTCTCCTGGATATGGCACCGATCTCCCCCTCTCTCGTACGGGTCACCATATCTCCCGGATAAAATCACCTTTTGAGCTTTTCTGTGCCTTCTTAGCCCAAAACGTGAATTTTTCTTATTCATAGTACGGTTTCTGGGGCATTTTTACACGTATTTAGTCACTGACAAAGATTATTTCTGACATCAAAACGATGATTGCGAATTTTGATAGTAAGTCTTCATGTGATGTCCAAAGTCATTCCCATTGGTGGCTGGGTCAATCTTTGGGCGCGGGAGGGGGGGGTGGAGTCCGTTGAAATTCCGGCGGAGAGGTAGTGAAAAAAGAGAGTCTCCAGATTTAAGATCTCCAGAGGTTGGCATCTCTGCCATTATCACTTACTTGTACTGCAGTACGTTATTCTGACAATGATACTCCTATATTTGAAATCTAAACTTCTTGCGATACGGAAAATTATGAATGCTCATTGGCTACCTAGAGTATTGTAACCGCCAGCAACGCACAGGGTGGATGCACTTTATGACTGCCTTCCTATTAGTAAATATTCCTTCAAATCTTTTCTTAGAAAGCTTATTTCGATTTATTTACGTTGTTGTCTGGACATTATAGAATGTTAAAGATCACATGAAACTTTTGCTGCTGTAATTTTTCTACTTATCCTTGCCATATAATAGTGAAGAAACACAATGCTGACAGTATAATGACCTCAATTTTCAATGCTTCCCAAGGCTATTCGTCGTACCAGAAGATTATACTTTTACCTCAAACCTGTTATAAAAACGGAAAAACGCAGATGCCTGTTGCGTGAGCCCGGATTATTGGCACATCCGTCTACACCCTTCCTTTCCTAGTTCCACTGTATGAAGAGAATCGTCAATAGAATTTTCGGGATCCGGGATTTCTCTTATTTAGGGGTCGAAATTCGACTTCTAAAGCAAAAACGGGGCGTGATTCGGTATTGGAAGTTTGCGCGGGAGGTGAGATGGCAAAAACAACCCTCGGGATTACGGAATTGAACTCAATTTTGGGTCAGGATTACGAGATTGAAGAACTCTTCTGGAGATCCTCTATGGAAGTATTTGCAATAATTACTTAGGGACTACAGAGTGTTTTCACTCACGTTGCCAACATCTATGCAAATTTATTGGAACAAAAGAAAGAGTTCAACTCCCACAGGACTGGTTTGGGACACCAACATGGCCGACGTTTCATTGTTTTAGGACACAAATATGGCTGCCGTGAAGTCATGTGAAAACACTCTATTGATATGAACAAGAAGCCCTTATTCTGATATGAACAGCTTGCTTAAAGTTAGCTTTTGGCTTCTATAAAAGAAATTAACTACCACACGAATTGTTTTGTTCTCAACAATATTATAACTATTCTATTATTTACTATAGCAAAGGCAATCTACAGAGACAACATCAGTATTACATGTTCGTTGATGCCAAAAGTGACGAGTTGATAAGGAAGTTGTTGAAATTTCGAAAATGCAAATGTGTATCAAGGTATTGTGAAGGTATTGTCTATATTTCATTTTCGGTTCGTGTTTATGCAGATTGAGTACAGCAATATTCTAACATAAGTGGAAATTTATGTTTCAATCCGGCCTCCACACCTAAGTCATGTTAATTTTTCCAAGATTTGAGGGGGGAGTAGGGGGGGGGGGNTCTTCAAACACGCAAAAAATCCTCTAGTGGTAAACTCACTCCTGCAAGGACTTCCTAAGCCATTTTGAAAATTTTAAAGGTAAACTTTGTTGTTGATGTTACACAATCAGCTCGACGTTCGGAAGAAGTATGATTTCTTTGAATTTGTAAGAAACTTTGGAGACACGTACCATTAAATAATTTCAATCCAAAGTTTGTGGCTTTTTTTTCGTCGCCGACATGGCATTTTCCGGCATTTTTTGTGGTAGAAAGCTCGCGAAATCTACTTTTTTCTGCCATTTTGCCAGAGACGAATTTTGTTCCCTGGCGAAAAATTTTCAGCTTGGTACACTCAGCATAATCTTTTCCCGTACTGTATTTAATCGAATAAGCGCCCAACCTCGAATTAGCGCCCACCTCGAATAAGCGCCCAAACTAAAGGCAAAAAAAGTTATAAGCGCCCAGCCTCGAATAAGCGCCCACTCTCAAGGTCCAACGCCCAGGGCGGTTAATCGAATAAATACGGTATAAGGTCAAACTAAGGTATATGAACTGATTAAGTGAACCAATCAGGATATCCGAGGTTGAAAATTTGATAAAGATGAATATAATGGACTACCTCTAGCACCACCATATGATCGGACCCTTATATGAGTGCCTACACCAAGTAGTTAGCCGAACGCGGTTAAGGACCCTGGGAACGAGATTAGGATATCGCGTGACAATAACAGTGAAACAAACATTTTGCCCCGATGTTCTGTATTTTTTAAGAGCCTGTGGGCCTGGTCTTGAAAACACTAAAAACTGAGATATACATGTACTTGCGACAAAATGTCCGTCGTCAAATAAAACAGCCTAATCTTCGAAATAAGAGAAAGACTAGATGAACTAAATGTCGGTAGGAAATTGCACTTTATGTGCAGAGGGAAGGTGGCTCCTAGAAGCGAAGAAAGTATGCAAGCTGCTTCCTCGCTGATTACAGAATTGGAGGAAAAGGAATTTCTAGGACCTGATAACCTGGATCTACTGAAAGACCTGTTAAAAGATGTCAAGGACTGGGCTTTTTTGGAAGAAGTTGAAAAATTTGAGAGCAAAAGAAAGGAATACTTTGACTTACTTGAGCAGATTATTCGAGCACTCGACGAGCTTAATGATCTGGAACGGCTCGTCTCGATTTGCAGAGGAAAGATACCGCGAGAGAGGCAAGGCAACATTTGTGATGCACGATCATTGTTTGAGGAACTGGAGATTAACAATTGTCTGGGAATTAACCGTCTTGGCATTTTGAAAGAACTTTTGGCTCAAACGGGGACAGATGATCTCTTACTGGAAGTTAAGGAGTTCGACGAGCGAAGAACTTGGGAAGATAAGTTTGAAAGGCGAAAAGGTATTTGCCGGTTTTCTCTGTCCGATCGATTTCTTTTTGTTTACATGTAAGTGTATATTATGTGTTATACAGCAGTGACTTCCACAACGTTCGTAATTTGACCAAGGTTTTTTGCGAGGTGAAGTTTATTCTTTCTGTTTTCGCTTTTTTTAGCACGAGCAGCTGAAATTGTTTCCACAGCCAGGAATAATTTGACTGGAGGTAAGTTTATTAGTATAATAAACCAGTATTAAGTTAAAGAAAGGACTTCAAGATTATCCACATACATTTGAGAGAAGAAATTATAAAAAAGTATAGAGCTTCATTAACCAGTTGTTGTGGTCTCGTCTCAGAATAATGCACAAGTCAACGATTCTTCATGTTTTAAGTCCGACTTACGCACTACATATATATATTTTCCGTCCTCGTGTTCTATTACATCCCATAGTAGTCAGTACGACATCACATCTCCTAATAATCTCGCAACTTACCTCGCAACAGGTAGAACTACTTCCTGTACACGACACCAGTCAGAAACAGAACGAAATTGATGGAATGAAACAGTTACCAACCGGACCGAAGCGTTCCAATGACTTGGGTATCCCCGTGTTTTAAGTTACTCTATACCCAAATCATAAATGATATGGCCCAAAACGTGACCGTGATTCTGAAAATGGGACTCAGTAGCGATAGCGAAGTTATTCAAGGGATCAAACTTTTTTTTATCTGTTTAATTTTTTATTTGGACGCTTTTTAAACGTTCTTGATGCGTTGAATTTTGTGTCAATGTTCTAGAATTTAGGCGAAGTGTTTTGACAAGATTTCATTTCGGTCTTTGGATAGCTATATTCTCAGTTAAATCGTTTTGTTGATTTGCGTGGGATGACAAAGTTAAGTTTATTCATCCCATTGTACTTACAAAGAAAGGAAAAATGAACATACTTTATTGATAACAATGGTAACTATTAAAATCCTATTTACAATTAATTCACTTATTATAAAAAAGAAAAACTATTCCGTCAGAACACTATTTACAATTCCTTTCGTTTAAAAAAACATTTAGTTTTGATTAGAAAAAATTCATTTGGTTAAAAAATATATTCGAATTAAAAACATTTCATTTCAATTAAAAAAATCCATTTCGTTTAAAAAAAAAAACTATTTTCAAGGTCGATTGCATTCTTAATAAGAAAATCACTAAAAAAAAAAAAAGAGGGTTCTCAATGCGTTATTGACGAATATGAATTTGCCATTTAAAAGTAAGGAAACACATTCCCATTCAATAGTCCGATTGAATGGCTCCTTACAAAGAAAGTATCACGAGTTTGATAGAGTTTTGCAATATTAAATGACCCATAATGGAACTAGATCATGCAGAACCACTCAGAAGACAAATGCAAAATTGACAGCAGATACTTTTTAAAAAAGATTCAAAAGTTGCATGCAAGGAATCATGTAAATCCGTGCCACACGAAACACGCAACCGTGGGATGACAGAAACTCAGTGCATGATAATTATTTCATAGCTGTAAATTCAACGTAATTCACTTTCGCTTAAAAACGTTCCTTATTAATGGCAAAATTTCAATGTCTTAACCAAAGCTTAGGTTCGAAGGGCAGGGTCAGGGGACATTTTTTCCAGCACAAAGAGAGGAAAATACCATTTTGCAATGTCACGGGGGGTACTCAAACCACTAACGGGATACCCATATCATAAATGATATGATTATGGGGATACCAAATTACCGTGACACCTGTCAATTACCGTTTTGTCCGAAATTTTGTTTACTTATCAGTGAAGAGGCACTGGAAGCGAAAATTTCTCACTTGGTAGGTTTTGGTTGGAGAAGACCGACCGTTGAAAGCGGAACACCACTGGAGGTGGACCAATTCTTCCGGAAAATGTTTATCCGGACAGAAGTGTTCCACATTATGGCCAAAATTTACGGCATTTTGGCATAACAGTAAGCACCCCTAAGTCCCCGGATATTGAAGTACCCCACCCTCTTCCTTCGAACCCAATGACCAATTACTATTTTGTGCTAAAGCCTGCCATAACTTAACCGAATCCGTAGCTTTGTGTTATTGATACTGATTGCGACATATTATCTAAGAGTTAGTGCCTTAAATTTTAACTGACGTCCAGGAACATTACAATCATTCAATTGGCTTTGAAATTAGATTATTTTATTCAGACTTTTATTATTTCTCTTTGTAGTTTTGACCATCAAAAATGTTTTCAAAGGAGTTGCAGGAGGTATGGTCATTTATTCCGCCTTTGACCTCCTGAGACGTCATCCCACATATGATCAGCTCGTCAATGCCATTAATAATTGTATTCTTCCTGCCGGTGCTAAACTGATAGAAATGGCTGAGGGTAGTGTGAATCTCAAAGTTCATGCAGAAAATCGTTTAGCTCTTGACAATTTGTGGCGAATGTACAAGAATGGAACTTTGAAAGCAGGCCTGCAAGCCTTACTTGTCACAGATGAAATGATAGAATTTGCTGGTGGAGAGCAAGTGGAAGTGACTGTGACCATTGATGAAGAAGAATACATCAAAGCCCGAGGCGAGTTGACAACAGAATCAACAGGTAAACCAAGTGTCACATGAAATGATACAAAATATAAAAACATGTCACATGATATGATACAAAATATAAAAACACGCTTATAGTAAAAAGATTATTTTTATTGCTCTCTACGTTATGAATTTTTTGTGTAATTGTTATAAGAGCCTTTTACATTAACGTTCAAAATTTGATTAATCAGTGGCAGATTCAGATCTTAAGTAAGTTGGGGGGGTGGGGGGGGGGACATTTATCCAGACCCCTAGAAAGAGAGGGACTGTGACGAAATCTGCCACAAAAGTGAGTCCTCTCCAACGATAACACCGAGCATAGACGAACTCAAGAGAACACGTATCCGGTATATCAAAAAAAACAATGCTCTAAACGTTTATTAAAACAATACTCCCAAAACTCCACGATTTTAAGATTAACTAGGCGTTTCTATAATTATACTTGTTTCCCTAAACAATTAAAACGGGATAATTATTCTTATTTCTAATGACTAAATGCGATATTACTTTTGATAATTATTCTAAATTGTGAAGACTAATGTGATATTACTTTTTTTTTACACAAAATACACAGCGAGTTTTGAACTACTTAGTCTACAACATATTTACAAATAGGCCACTTGCAGTAAGAGGTCACGTGACCAATACTTCCCTTAAACAATTAGTTGGCATCCTGCTGATGCCAAAGATTGACAGAGCACATAAAAATTATCTAACACCCGAAATTTGAGAGGAAAAGCATTTAAGGGAGATATTTTATGGCACTTTGATTTTTCATGAAAGTAGTATGATTTGTATTGGCCGCCATGTTGAAGGGCATACTCTTGCCCTCCAACATGGCGGCCAAAACTAGTTTTTGCTTACATCTTGTTAAACTTTTGATAG